AATGAGACCGACCGTTTTTTTTTACGTTTTTCAAACCTTGTTAGAGTTTGGGAAAATTTTCCTACAGAGCTTAGTGCTCACCCCTACCAATAAATATTTTTTTTCAGACTTCGTGGTAGAGGAAGATCCCGGAGTTGACGAACCGAGAAATTAGGAGGTTCCACCAGAGGGGAACCTAGATCCCGAGATGGACATCTAGAGCTATAGTTTATTTTTGTGCTAGACTAGAAATTTATTTACGATCATGTACAGTCTAGTATTTTGTTTATTTCGCTGCAAAGTTTGAGTGTAATTCTTTTAGAATGTAATTATCATAGCTTGATCTATTCTTTTGAGATGATATTGTGGATATTACATATGGTGAATAAAATTTTATTATTTGATGGGTAAATGGACTCGGTGTGGTCAATATTTATTCATACATGAACCCGGTGTGGTCAATGTAGTTTAATTGCACAGGTTGTGTTTTGGGTAGAGCTCCCTGTACAAAGGAGACTCTGCCCAAATTTTGTTAAATTAAAGACCCCCAATTTTGGGGCATTACAACTTCACCCGTCCCAATCATTGTCCAAGATACAAGGTCCTGAATAAAACAAGAATTTTGGAAAAAATAAGACAACAAGAGTGATGTAGCAATTCTTTTTACAGTCAATAAATTGAAGGAGAAGGAAGGAACACATAGAACCTCCTTTACTACTATGGTATTAGTAATTTTAACAATGCCTATATGAGTTACTACAACTTGATTTCCATTTAGTAACTTGACAACATAGGAAACCTCAACTAAGTCATTGGTAAATAAGTGTTACAAACCATATGATATGTTGCACCTATGTCAATTATCCAAGGAATATCCTCTAAAACAGAAGATTTATGTCTATAAGTTGAGAGACAAAAAGAAATACTCGACATCTTGAAACCTTTTGGTTCATATGGAACTGGATTGAAAATGGATTGTGTTTGATTAGCAAAATAAATGATTGCTAAAGAATCCCTATACTGCAGTAAATTCAAAAGTTGTTGATATTGACCCTTAGTTAGTGCAACTTTGTCATCAATTTCCTCCCTCTTGATTAGTGACCATTGAAGTGCTAGACTAATTAGCAAATGCAATAGAACCCTTTGACTTGTTAAAAAACTTATGGCCTGATGGATAGCCAAGAAGTTATAACATTTTTCTATTGTGTAACCTTTCATATTGCAATGTGCACATGCAGGAACCTCTGCATTCCCAGCCTTATATGTATGTTTAGTCGAGATGCCTTGGATACAAACTGTACCTCCAGTAAGTCTTCAGCTCGAAATTTCTGCATATGAGCCTTCTTAGCTGAGCTGATTTCCCCACCTCCAGTAAATCCTCTGGACATTACTCTAATCTCACTTATAGGATACTAGTGCTTTGGAATAGTTTGTTGCTACTGTGCAGGATATAGATGAGCTCGATTTTGATTATCTCGGGCCACGAAATGATTCAACTATCCTCTTTGGATTAAGAACTCGATCTTTTTCTTCAACTGGATGTAATCTTCGGTGAGGTGGCCATTGTCCCAGTGATACTCACAGTATTTTGTCGCATCTAGTTTTGCGGGGTCAACCTTCATCCAAGGTGGCCACTTCAGGAACTTTTTATTCTACACTTCGTAGAGGACCTAGGACACCGTGACATTGAGGGGAGTGAACTGTTTTAGGGCGTACCTTGGCTATAACTCCTGAGGTGGAGGACTCAAGCGATCTCGAATATCTCATCTTCATTTTAGGGAGCGATCTTTGTATCTTCATGGAGACTTTTCTCGACTCATTTTCATCTTCAGACTTGGATTTTTTCTTTTCTCTTTCTCCTTGTGGGTACTCAAGCTTTTAACCTTTAAGAGGAGAACCTCTTCGCCATTGATGTACTTCTCTGCCTTGGCAAGGACCTCAGTCATGCTAGCTTATGGGTTCTTGGAGATAAAGAACATTAAGTCCTTGGACTGAACTCTTAGCCCGACGATGAATGCGGTGAGGGCAAACTTCTAATCAGGGACGTCTACTTTCAAAGACTCTGAGTTGAACCTTTGAACGTAGCTTTGCAGTGTCTCATTTGGCTCTTGTTTCACCTTCAGTAAGTGGTAACTCGACTTCTAGTAAGTTCGAGTTCTAATAAAATGTGACACAAATAAAATAGAGAGCTCCTTGAACAAAGAAATAGAAGAAAGAGTCGTCCTATTGAACCAGGCCAGGGCTGAGCCCTTCAGTGTGCTAGTGAAGCTTGGCATCGCACTGGGTCTTGATAACCATGCAACTCCATCTAATTTTTGTAGGTGTTGAGATAGTTCATGACATCCCTTATCCCATCAAAGGCTTCTATCTGTGGCATTCTAAACTAAAGTGGAAGAGGAAAATGCAACACTTCTGCAGTAAAGGGAGATTCTGCCCCTCATAGCCTCCTTCATGCGGCTGAACTCCTGTTGAACTTCTTTGAAGCGTAGCTCCCAGAATTGCTGCTTCATTTTCTGATGGAATGGGGGAAACTCGTTCCTCTAAGTTCCCCTATTCTGGCTTTGTACTTTCTCATTGTCCTCATTCCTTTGAACTTGACGATTGACATTGCCAACTGTCTAGCTACGCTCATCCCCCTCAGTGATGTCCCTTAGAGGGTTGAGGTGTTGATGTTTCCCATATGGGGGATCATTTTGGGCTAGTTGTGCCCTTTGGGGACGTTGGATGAGGTTCAGTAACTCCTTATTCTACTAGAGGAAACATTGATTGGCTAGACGAAGGGCTTCAAGCTCGTTATTTGGAGGAGGATTCACCATGGGTGGGTCAACTTTTGGATCAGGCAAGAAATCACAAGGATTTTCTCGTTGTCTTCCAATGGAAACCTCTTGTTGGTTTTGTAATCAGAGGGGTTTATCTGAATTTTACTCATATTGTACATAGAAATCATTAATTACTGAAGATGATCATTATAATTTTTTTACAAGAGCAGTCGTTCCCACATATGGCGCCAACTGATGATGTGTTTAGCACGATAGTGCAGAGATAAGAGATTGATGGGTCACTGAGTAACTTAGTCTGAACTCCTAGGTTCTTAAGATTTGGACAAGGGAAAAAATGGGGGTAACACAAAGAATTTACAATAGTTCACCAACTCGGGAGCTCAGTTAATCCACTCTCAAGGGAGTCTCTTGTTCCTGAGACTTATATTAATAAGAAATGAGATTACAGAGTGTTTGATCAGGCTACAATTATTTATATGTTCTTGTGGGGGTTATGCCTCTTATTTATAGTCGATCTTGGGCCTCGCATGATCTCTTACATGATCCTTGCCTTTTCCTTGTAACGGTTGCGACTGTCATGCAACGACCGTGGAGGGTGTCGAGGCAGTTACGACTCTTGTGTCTGGATATATACCCATTACGATTTAGGTGGCACTTGAGTGAAAGTCAGCTATCTTCTATGTTATCCTTGTGAAGACACAATTATAGGGATGAAAGGTGATGATGCACAAATTGGATTGCACACCACCTGTCAAGTAAGTAGTATAAAATATAGTAAAATAAGTTGAGGGAGAGAAGACCAAGTTTAGAGTGATTTGGTCAACATGACCTACGTCTACTTTGAATGACAAGGGTTGCCTATATTTTATTAACTCAGGTGTGTAGGGAGAGCAAAGAGTAACAAGATTTGAGAGGGTGAAGAGAGAATTATCTCGAATGAGTGTCTTGATGATACCCCCAAGTGTTGGTAAAGCTAACAATTTATAGTGGTTTAGTGTAGTAATTGAATAGTTAGTCTGGCAGTCATAACGGGTTGAGAACGTTTAATAGTCATAATAGATTGAGGTGACTTTAATAGTAATTAAATAGCTTAGAGACCTCTCCTCTCCTCTTCTCAACGGGTAAGGAAGTTATGATGCTCTCCAAAATACTTGGTCAAAGGATGAGGGAAGGTTGACTCTCTCCAAGTGACGAAGATGAGGCTCTTGGATGACCCTTACTCCAAGGTGGCTAGGAAGAGGCTCTTGGATGACCCTTACTCCAAGGTAGCTCCTCGAACCCAGTGAGCTTGATCGGGCGTAGACCACTTTACGCGCTAGATCTCTCGGAGTTATGCTTTTAATTTAAATTGGGCTTACAACATGAGTTGGGCCCTTGGGCCTAACCCATCATTTGCCCTCCATTGCCCTACGTCTAACAGAACTTGGAAAGAAGGGCATTTAGGTTAAGTTTAAATTTTTGGCTGATCGACATAATTGGAAAAGCTTCAAGAGGCCAAAACCCATGCTTTTAGACCTTTTTTGAGCTTTTAACAGCATCAGTCATAGCCAAAGGCTATATGTCTTGTAGGGCTCGCTGAGAGCTTCGATTTAATATATTATGGGCCTCAATTGGAGTAACAGATCGAAAGTTACGGTCAAAATAACAAGTAAGGAGCTAGGCGTGCGATTTTGGGCAAGTAGGCAGCTTCTGGGCAAGCAAGCGGCGTCTTGGGCAAGCAGCTAAACTTTTTATTTTGAAAAAATTTCAGGAGGCTAAAACAACTATTTTTGAGCCTTTTTTAGACTTTTTATAATGTTTATCGCTGTCATTGATAATATATTTTGTAGGGCTTGTCGAGAGCTTCAATTTGATATATAATAAGCTCTGTTTGGAGTTACGGAGCAAAAGTTACGATCACAATAGCGTTCAATCTTTTTTAAATCTGAATTTTTTAAAACTCCTTTTGATTGGTGACTCCCTCCTTTCTAGTAGACTCCTTTTGCTTGTGGGACTCCATTAGCTATGTCAACTTCCTCTTTCACTTCTTTTTTTTTTTTTTTTGGGATTCTTGAAGAGCCTCATTCCATACAATCTTGAGTGAGAAGGAGAGCTCTTCTTGAAATCCTTCAAGAACAATGGGGTGAGATTCTTGAACTCAACATTCAGAGCAATGTCGATTGAGGGGGATGAGTTTATGAATCTTGGGGAGAGCCCGGAGAAATTAATGTTGTTCTCCAAAAGGAGGAGATAGGCGCCGGTATGGAGGTGCGGGGGATGTCTGTCGCCGTCGTTGTTCATGCGCCATGGGACTGTCCGAGGTGGTGGCGCCTATAAGGGCAAGCCTGCTATTTTTGTTGAAGATAGGAGATCTCGGGTGATGTAGGAGGTCGTTCGACTGTTGCCCAGCACCACCCAAGGAGTGTCGAATGGGAAAACTGCCCAGTCGGGCGAGGGACGAGCAGCCCGGGTGGCCTGTGATGGGCGAACAGCCCCGGTGGTCTACAATGGGCGAGCAACTCCCGTAGTCCGCAATGGGCGAGCAACCCTTGGGCTTTGGAATAGGCGATTAGCCCCTGAGCTTTGTGATGGGCGAGCAGCCCATAAGGTTCGTGATGGGTGAGCTGCTCATGAGGTTGGCGAGCAGGTTGGGCGTGGTGAGGAGGCGTTGCTTGGCCTTGGGCGTGCAGCCTGCTGAGGCGCCTATGGCTCTCGTTGGGATGCCTGAGGCAGCGGACAACATCCTTGAAGGCCTTATACCGCTGGGTGCTACTGGAGGGGCACCCATGGGACTGGGCATTACTGGAGGGGCGCTGATACCCAAGAGTAGGTGCCAGATGGATGAGGCCCTGATTGTTGACATTCAATCTAATGATGTCCCTTGGGTTGTAGACGACCTAAATTTCAAGATCCTACCTAAGGATGACAAAAATAATGTTATTCCAAACATCAAAATATTTAACATGATTACCTGGAGAGAGAGGCAAGTTGCTTGTACGATAGCAAAGACAGTTTGAGGTTGCTCGTGAGAAAGTTGTGCCTCTTGAGACCGAGCTTCTGACAACCATGAGAGAGTCGATAAGCTATAGATATAGGCTGCCTACTTGAGAACAGAGCAGAGATAGGCCAAGCTCTTTTGGCGACCCGTGAGAAAGCCGCTAAGTTGGAGATTGCTTACTTGAGAGCAGAGCAGAAATAGGCCAAGCTTTTTTTGGCGATTCGCGAGAGAGCCGCTAAACTGGAGATAGATTGTCTGCTTGAGAGTAGAATAGAGATAGACCAAACTTTTTTGGCGACCCGCGAGAGAGTCGCTAAGCTGGAGATATAGACTGTCTACTTGAGAGCAGAGGAGAGATAGGTCAAGCTTGTGGCGATCGGTGATATGATTCACCTCGCCTGGACCTATTGATGTCCTCAGCATTAATTTATTTTTGAGCTTTTGCCAATAGTTCTGGCATTATATTTTGTGGTCGCTTTATTACTGAAAAGAGGAAAGTTGATAAGTGGAGACCTCCCAAGAAGAAGGTCATGGTAACTTTGTCATTGGGCTCCTCGATTTGGAGGACCTTCTTGTTGAAACGAGTGAGGTAAATTCTTAGACTCTCGTCTTGATCTTGTTTTATGTTGAACATATGGGTGACAGGCTTCAGCTGACAGCATCCATCAATGAATTGTGTCATAAAGGATCTGCTCAGTTCGGCGAAGGAACCTATGGAGGCCGGAGTGAGTTTGGTGAACCATTGTCATGCTGATCCCTTCAAGGTGGTACGGAACGCCCTACACATAATTTCGTCGAGGACGTTGGATAGCTTCATTAAGGTCTTGTAGGTTTCGGATGATCAAATGAGTCCTTTGTACTGTCGAAAGTTTTTACCAATGACATTTTAAACTTTTGGGGAAGTGGATAGTCGCCACATCTGATATGAAGGGTGTGCCAGTTCACCTTACCAGGTAATCGACGATTTCGGGTCCTTGTGCCTTCATGGCATTGAAGACGTTGCCTAGCTAATTCTGCACTTCTTTGATTTTTTCTTTCTAGTGGTTTGGAGCTACTTTGTAATTGTCGTGGAAATGACTTTCATACTCCACGCTTTGGTTTTTGTCCTCATCATCTTGGAAATTTGGATCTCCACCATGAGAAGAAAGAACTCGAGGAGGAGGTGGAGGTCCCTCATGGTGGGCTCCTCTGTGTGGAGCGCCCAAGTGGGGAGCTTCTTGATGCCCAGGGTGTGGAGCTCCTCTAGCTTGAGATCCTACGGGCTGTGCTTCTCCTTATTGCCCAATGAGCATCAATTGCAGGATTTGCTAGTTCTGGGCTATAAGCTATTTCATTGTGTCTAGCATCTGTTGTGCATTTGGGACGAGATTGGCAGGTGGAGGAGCAACCTCCTCCTCTCGTGTTGGATTGTCTTCAGGCCGATTCATGGATCTAGTAGTGATCGCAATTGATTCTGGTGGTGATCGCAATTGCTTTAGCCGCGAAAGTGTTTAGGTGAGAATTTTTTTCGTTTCCCACAGACAGCGCCAAATTGAAGATGCACAAATTGGTTTGCACACCACCTGTCAAGTAAGTAGTACAAAATGCAGTAAAACAAGTAGAGGGAGAGAGAAGACAAGGTTTATAGTGGTTCGGTCAACGTGGTCTATCTCCACTTTGAATGGCAAGGGTCGCTGGTATTTTATTAATGCAGCTGTGTTAGGAGAGCAAAGAGTTACAAGCTTTAAGATGGTGGATAGAGAATTATCTTGAATGAGTTTCTTGATGATGCCCCCCAAATATTGGTGGGACTTACAATTTATAGTAGTTTAGTGTAGTAATTGAATAACTAGTCTGTCGGTCATAACGGATTGAGATGACTTTAACAGTAATTAATGTAAAACCTGGGAAAAATTTAAATTTTTTCTCTTTTGTTTTTTTTTTTGGAAAAAGGGCAAAATAATAATTTGTCACTATAATGCAGGTTTAAAATTTATAATTTTTTAGAGCTCGGATGATTCAACGGAGCACATCGTTGGATTCGTATCGCGAAATCGAGTTGTCATGTCAATTTTCATCGAATTCTGAGGTAGTCAATTTTACACGTTTTACGAGACAATTGGATGACGAATGACCTTTCAAAGGTCCCCAAAAAATAAAATTTATAAAATTTCTTATAATTGAATAAAATTTTAAATAAAATTAATTTGAACTTAATCCAAGATATAATGAATCGTTTCAGGATGAAAAATAGATCCAGAAGTCGAAATTATGCAATGAAATTTGGACCACACATTAAGGGGGTATAAATAGGGGCAAACATCTAAAAAGTCAGATATTTTCACCCTCATTTTGAGTCTTGTTTGGCTGGCCATAGAGAGGAAATAAAAGAGAAGAAAAACTCAAGTTCTTCAAGCTTTCTGCCTCGGATCTTTGAAGTTCCGTCGTTCGGATCAACTCGGACCAAGAGCTAAAGTTCATCTCCTCGACAAGGGCTACGTGTACGTACAAAAAAGAGTGGGTTTCACCGAAGATCCAAGAAGAGACTTTGGAAAAAATCAAAATTTTGAGGTTGTTTTGGTGTTATAGAAGTTCTCTACACTTCTATTGAGGTAGGGTTCTTCTTACCTTAATTTTATTCCTCTCCTTTGGGGCTGTTTTAGGGCCGATTTAGGGGCTGAAACTATGGACTGTTATGAACTGTTTTGGGGTTACATTATGGACTGCTATGTGGTTGTATTTTGTGTTGAATTTAGGACTATTATATGGCATGTTTATGAGCTATTTTGTGGCTGAATTTAGGATTGTTTTATGGCCTGTTTAGGGGCCGTTTTGTGGCTGAATTTGGGGCTGTTTTATGGCCTATATAGGGGTTGTTTTGTGGTTTCTATAAGTGCCGTTATGTGGGCTATTTTGTGTTGTATTGCACCTTTGTGATTAAGTGTATTATTGACATAAAAATTGTGATAACATGCTTGGAATTGTGTTATGAAAATTGTCAATGTATGTACATGCTTGTGTTATATTGACATTGTGGATAATAATGGGAATTATATGCTTATGATATAATTTTGTCATAGAATATGTAAAATATATTGATATTGTTCATATGTCTTTCATAGCATATTGAATATATTATAATTGTGCAATGAGACATTATATTGCATATGTACGGTAATATCGCATCATGTGGGTGTGTGCATGGTTGTCGTCAACACCACACTTGGTGGATGACGAGTGAACTCCATTAAGCTTGGTCGAAGACTTGGCCGAGTCGCACAAGTTGCATGGTGATTAGAGTTGAGATTAGCAATGAGGGACTAGAATATCCCTTGGGTGCAAGACCCGGTGATTGGGATACGCACTCCCTTGTCTGGCCCATGAAGTGTGTGGGCGTACGTGGAGCCCTTGGTGAAATTCCATAAATTCTGAATAGGTTGGAGACCCTTGGTGTAAGCCCATGAACATCCACCCATACAAAAACCCTAGGTTGGTAAAAGTCATTTGATGTGCAACATAAATAAGGATTTCATACACATTGACATTTGCATGTGTTGAGGAGCGGGGAAGGGCTTGGGTTGATTTGCATGAGTGAGTCTCATCTCATTTTATGGCATGACATGATAAATTCTAACATTGAATGCATATTCTTACTTGGAATGTTGATGTTACTATGAAATGTTGTATGTAAACATTGCATGTGCACTTAGGTGGGGAGTAGTCTCTGTAAGAATTACTCTAGTAGGCGTGGTTCACCCTATACAGGAAAATATTTCAGGTTCTGGATACACACCGGTGGACGGCCCTCATTTGGATCCTCATGTTTGAAGAAGGCCAAATTGTGGCTTTATTTTGTGTTAATGTAAAATATTTGTGGAAATAATGTTTTGGGCATGTAATCTTTTGCAAATAATTGTAATAGAACTTATATAGACTATTGTTAAACTAACCTTGTATGTTTTGATATAAATATGGATAATTGGACCCGGTGTGACCAATGTTGACTTATAATTGGACCCGATGTGGTCATTGTTGAATATTGGACCTCGGATGAGTCTTGTTATTATATGATTGCACAGGTTGAGTTTTGGATAGAACTTCTCATATAAAGGAGACTTTGCCCAATTTCGTCAAAATTATGGTTCCCGGTAAATGGGGCATAATGGCGTAATATCTAATTACTCGGTATTCACGGGTATTCCGTGGGTTGATGGGTAATCAATAGACCCCCAGATTTTGGGACGTCACAATTAAATAGCTTGGCGACCTTTCCTCTCCTCAACAGGCAAGGAAGTTATGATGTTCTCCAAAAAACTTGGTCAAAGGATGAGGGAAGGTTGACTCTCTCCAAGCGGTGAGAATAAGGCTTTTGGATGACCTTTACTCCAATGTGGGTAGGAGGAGGTTCTTGGATGACACTTACTTTAAGGTGGGTAGGAGGAGACTCCCTTGTTGATGTAGCTCCTCGAACCTGATGAGCTTGATCGGGCGTGAACCACTTTGGACACTAAATCGCTCGGAATTGAGCTCTTAATTTAAACTGGATTTACAACATGGATTGAGCCCTTGGATCTGACCTATCAAAAGGTATGACCTCAAGTTCTGTGGTCATCTAGGATGGGCTGAATTCCCAAGATAAAAAGTCT